TAAACCCCTTTCACAGTGTAAAGTGGTACATACAGTTATGAAAATAGCTAAAACTTTCATGTTTTCTATCATTACAACTTTTTAGGTAAGTCTTGAATGGAACTGTAGAGAATGTGGCTCGATAATAATTTCCTGGAGAGTCTCATTCTATGTAGTGGGATGTTGTAAATTTGCTTATATTTTTTTGGTTTGGTCTCAAGTGATGTATTTGAGGTAATTGAATAAAACGATAACACTATATTCTATGTTTTTACTTTTATATTGGTATTTACAAATAAATTGTGCATTATTTTAAGTTTCTTACATATATATTGTTATCTTCTGGTTCGATATTTGATGTTCATATAATCATTTAGTGTTACATTCTATTTAGAATGTTCTACATATACAAACAACCTATAGCATTATTCTATAAGAATATTAAGTTGTAACTTAAATATAGACAACCTAATTAAATTATTCTGTTAGAATGCTATGTATATTCAGAATATTGAATATAATATTAGAATCTAATGTAATATAAGTTCATTTTAAATGTTATAACACAATTTAGAATATTACACTTTAATATCAGAATATTTCATACAATTTCATAATATTAGAATAATTTACATATAACTTAGATTATCCTAGAACATTATGCATATTATTCTACATGAACAGACAAAGTACAAAATTATTCTATTAGAATATTCTATATATACGCATTAATTACGTCTTATTAACAGTACATACAAATTTAAACGAAATCATAATACTCAGAATAATCAACTTCAAACAAATCACCTTTTGCAAATTAGAGTATTCTAATTATAATATTATACTTCTATTCATGTTAGTACTCAACCTATAACATTATTCTACAAGAATATTCTATATGTACATTCAACATGTATATTGTTCTTTTAGAATATTCTACTTCTATACATGTAGTATCCAACCTATAACATTATTCTTTATGAATATAACTTATTAAACGATATCATAATAATTAGAATAATTAAATTAAAAATAAATCATAATAAGTATAATATCAAGTAATTAAATGAAACCAGAATATTCATAATAATCAACTTAAAACAAATCAACTTTTACAAATTAGAATATTCTAATATTAATATTATAGATCTATACATGTTACCACTCAAACTATAACATTATTTTGTAAAAATATTCTATATGTACATACAACATATTTTATTCTTTCAGAATATTCTAATTTTATACATGTTAGCAGTTAGTCTATAATATTATTATGTAGGAACAATCTATATGTATAGACAACATATATATTATTTATTTTAGAACAATATACATGTACATTAGGACTAATCATATTTCCAACCATTCCATTAAGCAGTTATCATATTACCAAACATAGAATTAAACAGTAATCATATAATCAACTATACCAACTGATTTACAAAACATTAAGTAATCATTAATATCTAATTTCCAGAATCTATATGGGCTTAGGCCTGCCCAAATGATGTTTTTTCAAAAAAAATAACAAAAGAAAATGCTTTCATGTTACATAACCATATTTTCAAACTTTCAAATTTGCAACAATTCTATTTTTCACTCGTTTCCAGTGCATCTCTTGCTTCAATTCTTTATTTCATCAACCTACATCAACAAAATAAAAATTATTCACTTGGTTGCCATCTTCAGCTTTCAACCAATTCCATGTTCCTTGTTTCTGAGTTTCTTTAACTCCAACCCGCTATTTTTCATTTTCTGGTTTATTGGTACTTGAAAACATAGTGCCTGAAAATAAGTCATTGAACTTCTTTGTCATACTTTTGTTCTATTGTCATTTGGAAACATAGATACATAATTAGAAATAATTTCTTCCATATTCTATTTTCTAACTAAAACTATTTTGAACACATTTTCAAACGTTTTTCATATTCCTGAAAAGTAAATATAACTTAGAATATCAAATGAAACTAGAATACGCAGAAAAAATAATCATTTATGAAGTAACGTATAATTTATCATATCAAAATACATAGAATATCAAGAATGTACCATAAGCATGTCACATTATAATACATAGAATTACGGAAAATAGCAACATACTTTAACTTTGATACAAATATAGACAATATAGTATAACTATATTCTGTTTTTCTAACTAATAAATTTATTATATAGTATATGAAATTTATGATAAAGTTCAAACTGTTGCAACATTCTAAAACATGTAAAACTAGAATACCTATAATTTCCTAGAATATCATCTATGACCCATAAGCATGTCATATCAAAATACAATTTATCTTATCAGAATACATAGATTATCAAGAATGAACCATGCGCATGTAATATTAGAATACATAGAGTTATGTAAAATAGCAACATACTTTAACTTAATACTAATATAGACAATGTTTTATAACTATATTTGGTTTTTTAACGAATAAATTTTATTATATATTATACAAAATTTAAAATAAAGTTCAAATTGTTGCAACATTCCAAAACATGTAAAATCATAGTACCTAGAATATAATCTATGAACAATAAGCATGTCATATCATAATGCCTAGAATTACAGAAAACAGCAACATGATTTACTCTTGCTATTAATATAAACATTGTACTTTACTTTTTACCCATTATAACAACGTACTTTTATTGATTAACCAATATAATAAATATATAGAACCTCTATAAAATGATCACATGTGTTACATTAATGTTAACATAAACATTCCATAAGATTGACGTTATAAACTATAAACTTGTATTATATACTATAAAAAAATGATAAACAATTAGACTTCAATGTGTAAAAAAATCCTATATCATCTAAATAAAATCAACAAAAAATCAAGTTATGAAGTACATATGGTTTATATCATAATACTTAAAATTACGTAAAATAGTAACATACTTTACTCTTGCTACTAATATAGACATTGTACTTTACCTTTTAGCCATTATGGCAACAAACTTTCATTTATTAACCAATATAACCAATATGTAACTTGAATCTTTGTAAAATGATCACATGTGTTCAATTACATATTGTTATTATCAGTAAAAATATTAGTTGAATTCTCCACATGTGATTTATCCAAGGTTAACTAGGTACTCGCATTTAGTATGAGAATGACATGAGGAATGCACAAAATGATGATGATCAAAGTCGTTATAATGGAATTTCTCCATTCCCTTGTTTCTTCAGATATTTCCATCTTGAGATTACGTATGGTATGTGTATAAAGCTTTGCAAAATACATGCAACACAATATTTCAAGATTTTTGTTATCCATAAAACCTATGTTCCTAAGTGAATATTCCACCAACCCTTGTTGCAGCAATCAATTCCATTGCTACACTAAACAATTTCATGAATTAAAACAAATATAATAACACTAGTATTATTTCAACAACACAAATCAAACTTTAATACAAATACTATGTTTTTACAAGTGATTCAAACTTAATCCATGGATTCATAGAAAACAGAATTGTATAAAAAAAAACTAAAAGACATATTAGTTTTATCTTACCAGATTGTGTTGAACGATCCGTTTTTGATGATCCTAATAAGAATCGCTAGCTTCATAATCAGAATCAAAATCCAAAATCTAACCCGAAAGGGATAAATTTGATTTTTTTGAATCAGATGAAGATTTTTAAATTAGTTTCATAGGGCTTTTCTCGAGAGATTTGGGAAGGTGATTTTTATCGGAAACAAATGTATTCTCGATCGAGCTTAGGTATATACGAGCTTAGGGTTTTCTCTAGAGAATGGGTTTTATCGAGAGATTTGGGAAACAAAATGTATTCTTGAACAACATTTGGATCGGAAATTGCTTCAGATCGACAAAACCACGATGTATTATGGAAGATTTGTCGAACAAAACGGAATCAGGAGGGATGTTTTTAGCATTTTGTCGTGAAGAGTTCTTGGGGAGGAAGATAAATTTCAAGTAGAATGAGAATAAGGAGCTCGAATCAGAAGATCAACTTAGATTTATGATTAATCTGAAACAAATTTGTGAAGGAAGTAGAAGATGTCGATGATCAAGATTTGGATCAAATGGGTTTTAGTGTTCGCATCTAGGGTTTTTAGGAAGAACACCGAATGTTTTTTGTGAGCTGAATGTAAAGAACGTAAAATTCCATTCCTACCTCTCTATGTCTTATTCTAATCCCAAAGTTCCATTTATTTACAAAAATGTCACCGCCTGCTTTATGTTCCTTATGGTTTAATCTGATTTAATCTTAGCCTTTGATTATTCAAGATGAGTGGTCAAGATTTGGTCTCTCTGTCTCACAAAATATAGTGGTCTCACATGAACCTAACCCTCTATATATATATATATATATATATATATATATATATATGACACTTAGATGCCACGAGACCGTGCACACTACCCCACTAGTGACCTTGTGCAATGTTAATGATGTCTCTTGCTATATACCACGGAAGACCACACTCAATTAAATTGAACTTTTCTCTTTCTCTCTATCTCTCCGTTCCTCTCTATTCTTGTTGAGTATACGAGTGTTGGGAATACACTAGTTTTGATGTGATGCCTCTTTTCCTCCATCTTGTTTATCTGGAAAAAAAAAACCTATGCCAATGACGTGGGTAGTATACCCATCACCTTATACATTTTTTTTGCACAATTTAATAAAATCTATAACTTTATTACAACAACAAGTATCTAAAATATAAATCCAAAATAAGTAGTCAATACACTTCGTTTAGTTTGACACGTTTTTTAATGCCACAATATGGGCGAAGAAAAGATACTTAATATTTATACTTCAATTCAATTAAATTATTTGATATGAATTACAAATAATGAATATCATATTAATAGTTTCCCTCTTAATTTTTTATTCTTTAACCCTAAATTGATATCGTAAATACGGTTATAATAAACTATACATAGAAAACTGATCGATCTATTTTCTTGTACTTTTGTCCTAAATTAGTAAGTATGTTAGTATGTTATTACAAAATAAAACATGTAAATTTATTTATTTGAATACTGGTTGGTAATACCCAACGAAGAAAAGACGTCCCCGGCGAATCCATGTCCAAAAACGCAGATGCTCGCCGATGACAGGCCTTCATTGACGTTCAACGAAAAACAACTATTTCGTCTCCACGGTTTTCGTTGCATCAGATCCTGTATTTTTTCTTACTCCTAATTGGGGATCGAAGAACACAAATCAAATCTCAAAGAACAGCATTTCACAATTTAGTCAACGAATGTTTCAGCATGATGCCACAACCTTGAATTAAGCAAAAATGCAATCAACAATTGGTTCAAGATGCGGTCGGGCTCGTCAGCTTTTTCTTCTTCGGAGAACGGCAACCAACAAGATGATGACGATTTCGAGCTATACTAATACCAGTACAAGTATTTCTCGCTCATTTCTCCCACAAAATTTTGCTGATGCTTCATCAAGTTCCGGTAGTAGTGTTTTTACTAGACAATTCTCCGTTCGTCGTCGTGATCCATGGGATGTTTCGAGGAAGTCTAAGCATGTTTTGAAAAACTTGATTGCGTTTGTCTCGGATTTCTCTCCTACCCCCCTTGAAAAATCTGTAAGCTACATGCGCTCTTGCTTTTAGTTTATGATTATGTTTAATCCCTTGACTGACTTTATGTGAAAAGATTTTTTTAATAATCTTAAGAAGTATTCTTTGTTGTAGCTGGATCAATGATATATATTTGATTTGAGATGTATGAATTGGTTATTTCGGGATCTTCACCCTGAAATTAGTATGCAACATGCTTTCTTGAACTTGCTAAGGCTTCTAGTCAATAGTCCTAGGAAAGTTGTGCGAGGAAGTGTGTATTTGCCAGGGTTTATGGCTATGTGTACTGTTAAGTTTTGTAATTAAGATATTTCTGATGCATGTTGATATTGACTTATCATATGCGCGAGTAACCATGTAAACCATTTACTGATTATCATTATTTTAGGTCGAAATTCTAACTTGGATTCTGACTCTAGCAAGAAGCAGGGGCATACTGTAGTCTGGGACAGTGGTGTTTTAAACTTTTATGACTTTGAGCTTTGTAATCGCTTTAGATTATTGTTGATCTATGATTTGATTGTGTCCTTGTATGGCTGTTTGAAAGTATAGTGTTGAGCCTTTTAATACTTGCAGATTATGGTCGATCCATGATTGGTTGTACTCAGGGCCTTATGCTTTCTTGTGGTCAGTTGTGTTTCTTAACCAATATCATGAAAGAAAAATGGATGAACAAGTGTCACCACATATGTTAATATTATAAGATTTATGACATGTTTATATGATTGTAATTATCAGGGTTCTATACCTAAAGGGTATGCTTCATTCACAACATCCAGTGGCAATGCTGCAATGGGTATGAAGCAGAACAAAAAAGGGGAGGAGGAAAAAAGTCTTGTTACAAAAGGTGAGAAAATCAATAATGCTAAAATCCTTAGAACACTTGCAAAGTACTTGTGGATGAAAGATAACATGGAGTTCAAACTGAGAGTCCTCACTGCTATGGGATTTTTGGTTGGAGCCAAGGTGAGTAAGAGTAACTTTTCAGCATGTTCTGTTTTGTGTATGTATGTATATAAGGGTCAATTTTACTTAAAATTGCTCAAGGGGTTTCTTTTTCTCTCACAGGTAATGATTGTTCAAGTTCCCTTCTTATTCAAGCTAGCTGTTGATTGGTTAACAACAGCAACAGGAAACCCTAGTGCACTCTCTGAGTTCACAGCTGCTAATTCGACATATTTAGCTGTTTTTGTGAGTCCAGCAGCTGTGTTGATTGGTTATGGAATAGCAAGAATAGGGGCTTCTGCTTTCAACGGTACATCATTATGAAGTAATTGCTAGTGCTTGTTGTGATAACTGTGTAATTATATTAAAATCTAATAATAAAGCCTGAAACATTCATTTTTCCTACATACCTTTTACCCCCTTCCTCTCTTCAATTTTTGACTTAATTCTGTGTCTTGTTACAGAGTTAAGGACTGCAGTTTTCTCTAAGGTTGCATTGCGGACTATTAGGTCAGTTTCAAGAAAGGTATGATGAAACTAAAATGGAAATTTTCATATTTACAATTGTTTCCAAGGCATGAAACTTATGATATACTTCATGGGTTGCAGGTGTTTACACATTTGCACCAGCTTGATCTGCGATATCATCTTAGGTATATATGCATAACTGGATCCAACTTTTCTTTTATGTGAAATATAGGTTTTATTTCAAACTTTTATTCATGGATTGGTAATTAGGTCCAAGAGTTGTCTTCATATCTTGTTTCTTTTGTGTTTGAAGCCGAGAAACAGGTGGTCTAAATCGAATTATTGATCGTGGTAGCAGAGCTATTAACTTCATCCTCTCAGCCATGGTATTTAATGTTGTACCAACTATATTAGAGGTGAGACTTGTTCACAAACTTTATAGTTTTGTGATCCCAAGATTTCGTTTTAATCATTTGCATATTTCAATTCAGCAGATTCAGCATGTTTTCTTTTAGATTTCTATGGTATCAGGTATTCTGGCATACAATTTTGGAGCACCATTTGCATGGATTACTTCTCTGTCTGTTGCTGCGTATGTTGCCTTCACATTGGCTGTGACACAAGTAATTCATTTCCTTTAGTTTGTTTTGGTTCATTTTAACTTATATATATTAACCTCCAACTTTGAACTTTATTTGTTTCAGTGGAGGACTAAATTTAGGCAGGATATGAACAAAGCTGATAACGATGCAAGCACTAGGGCTATTGATTCACTTATTAATTACGAGGTGAGAAGTCAATAATTTTATGTATATTTTTCTTTCATATGTTATGATAATGTGTAAGATCCGCTTTTTCTGCACTGAGTGTTATACCTTTTCTTTTGTTAGACTGTCAAGTATTTCAACAATGAGAAATTTGAAGCTGATGCGTATGATAAGTATTTGAAGCGTAAGTAGCTTGTCTTCACAAGTGTGCTATATAATATTTATATGATTAGCTAAAATGTATTTAGAAGATTAGCTGCAAATTTTTTGTCTCAGGCTATGAAGATGCTGCCTTGAAGACTCAACGTAGTCTGGCTTTTTTGAACTTTGGTCAAACTCTGGTATTCAGTACAGCTTTGTCAGCAGCAATGGTACTGAGTTCAAATGGTATTATGAATGGTGTGGGCACAGTTGGTGATTTGGTAAACCCTTTTTATAGTTTTTTTATTCACAAAAAGACATGATTTAATGATATGATATGATATGATATGATATGCATAGGTTATGGTAAACGGGCTACTATTCCAGCTGTCTCTTCCACTCAATTTTCTTGGGAGTGTCTACCGTGAAACCGTGCAGAGTCTTGTTGACATGAAATCCATGTTTCAGCTACTTGAGGTACATCCGGATTTCAGAAACCTTCATGTATTCTTTTTTTCTTTCAAATAATAATAATAAACAATCGGTGTTTTTTCTTCAGGAGAGGGCAGAAATCAGAGATGAAGATGATGCAAAGCCTCTGAAGCTGGATGGTGGCAGCATTGAATTTGAAGATGTTCATTTCAGGTGGAGTTTTTTTCTGTTACTGGTGAGATAGATTGTGATGGGTTTTGTTACTGATATGTAGTCTGTCTGTTTGTTTTTTTTCTTCAAAACTTTAGTTATCTGACAGAAAGAAAGATTCTTGATGGTATATCTTTTGTTGTGCCAGCTGGGAAAAAGTGTGGCTATTGTTGGAACTAGTGGCAGTGGTGAGCTTCTTCCCAACTATTTCTTCTTATTGTTATTTGTTTATCTTCCATAAATTGAATTTCATGTGTAGGTAAATCAACAATCCTTAGAATGATCTTCAGATTCTTCGACTCTAATTCTGGAACGGTAACTATTTCTCAGTAATTTCTTTTAAAAAAAATATATAGAAAGAAAGCGAAAGCCTTTAATTTAGCAGGTGTTTGGTTGATACTTTAGCTTACCAGATGAGATGTGGTGGTTGACACTTGACAGGTGAGGATAGATGGTCAAGATATACGAAAGGTGACACTTGAAAGCCTTAGGAAGCATATTGGTGTTGTTCCACAAGATACAGTAAGTATCTTTTTATTTTTGGTGTGTGGATAAATGATGTTTAAAAAATATTTGAGAAAATGAGGGGGGCATACTTGAGGAAATACAAGGAAAAACTTGGGACTTAATGTGGAAAGCCTTATTTTCCTGACTTTGTGCATTGAGTCAAAAAGAAACATTGGTATATAGTTGATGAGCTTCAGTGAGTCATGATGTCCCCAATCCATTAAGTCCATATTTAAAAGAATAAATATGACCTCTGACCTGACCTAACCTAAGTTGGATAGATTGAGATGTATGTTATGTTTCTGTTTATATGATTGTGGAAAAGAAGGTGTGGTTTATATATAATATGATATGATGGATGATGTTGGCAGGTATTGTTCAACAACACAATATTCCACAACATTCAGTATGGTTGTCTCTCATCTACCCCTGAGGAGGTTTTATGTTTATCCCTCCCTCCCTTTGTATAAAAATCATGCAAAATCACTTTTTTTTTTTTTCCTTGGCTAATGGCATAATAATTAATAAATAAAGTGGTTGTTAATATTATTAGGTATATGATGCTGCTCGAAAAGCAGCAATTCATGACACCATCATGAAGTTTCCAGACAAGTATTCAACGCTTGTTGGTGAGCGTGGCCTTAAGGTGAGTTGATTTAATCATGTAATCTTTAAGTTAAGTTGATTTGAATAAGAAGTAAGAAGTAGCAACATGGTTGCATTTATTTATTTGTTTGTATGTATATAATGTATTACATTGGTTTTTGTTATTAATCAAGTAAGGCATTGATTTGAGTTTTGCAGCTGAGCGGTGGTGAGAAACAACGAGTTGCATTAGCTCGTGCATTCCTGAAAGCACCACCCATTTTGTAAGTGTCTTCGCATTCATATATATGTCACGATAATGAGTAGTAATTATTGTTTTGAAAAACGTACAGATTATGTGATGAGGCAACAAGTGCGCTGGACAGCACAACAGAAGCGGAGATCTTAAGCGCTTTAAGGTCACTGGCCAATAATCGAACCGCAGTTTTCATCGCTCATAGGCTTACAACTGCAATGCAGTGCGACGAGGCAAGACCTATCTCCTTTTCTTGTTTAAATCTTAATTCAAGAAATATTATTTTTGATTTTGATTTGGATTTTGTTACAGATAATAGTTCTGGAGGGTGGGAGGGTTGTAGAACAAGGTCCGCATGAAGTTCTGTTGTCGAATGCTGGTGGTCGATATGCGCAACTCTGGTCACAGCAAAACACCACCATTGATTGAATTGAATTCAATTCAGTCCATCAGATTAGATATAAGATGGTTTTCCTGTCGTTTTTTACTCATCGTCTTCGTGCCTACCAGTCTAAAATAAGGTAATGCCAGTTTTTGTGTCTAAAACTCTAAAATAAGGTCTGTGATTTGGGAAAACACCACGCCCGTAAATTATTATTATTATTATTATATCATCATTTTTTTCTCCAATTAAACCCAGCAAACTAATTGCCATTTGCACGGGTGAGCGAAAAAACCAACCAACCAACAAACAGAACATACAACCGATGGTTTGGTTTCTACTTTTTCAAAAACCGAATATTCGGTTTGGTTTTGGTTTTATGAGTTACAAAACTGTAAAAAAACCAAACCACACTAATTTATATAAACTGTTTATAAATATGTTTAATTTACAAATATTATATATAAATCTTTGTAATTTTATAACAATTAATACCATGGTGAGTTGGTTAAGGTGATGAACATATGAATTTAAAACCTGCGGTTTGAATTCCGTTAGTTTATTTTATTTGATTTTTAGTTGCTGTAGTTTACTCATCCCACATGGGTTGGATAGTAAAAATCGTTCTTTTTTATGATTACAAATGTATTGATCAATTTGCAAACTTCCGTACTAAATTACATTTAATTCCTCATCAATTAAGGGATATAGAAACATTTACTTTCTTTAACTTTAAAATAACAATACAAACTAGGGATGAGCAACGGGCCGAACCCGGACCAGACCGGCCCGAAAACCCGAAGACCGAAAATAGTGAATTACCTTACCCGAAAACCGGACCGTTTTAGATGTATTGGGTTCGGGTTCGGTCCGGTCCGGTTTCGGGTACTAAACCGGGTTTCGGGTTGTGGACCAAATATATGACATACGTACATAAATCTTTCTTTGTGACTAGTTATAGACTTATAGTTATAAGTTGCAACTTGCAAAGTAAAAATAAATATATGGTCCTGAACTCTTGATTGGGCTGTAATTCTAAGCAAATTAACATAAAGCATTTGACATTTTTTGACTAAGAAATCGTAATTAATGTCACATGCAGTCACGCACCATGTTATCTAGTGCTCCTTCACAAACGACGATTTATATGATTTGATTTTTACCTTGTTTTTCTTAGGGCAACATATATTAACATTCCTGAGTCCTGTTACGGCAAAATACATTACATGATTACAACATCAAAAACATATTGGACTGAGTTTGATTGTCTTCCACAGAACCAATCCAATTTTCAATCACCATTGAAAAAGAGAGAGAAGTATGTCATCAATAATATGGACTATAAGATTTTAGTAGGGTTTTTTTGTACTCGTAGAATGCGATCAAACTAGAAAAGGGAGCCGGACCCGAAAGAAAAAAAATCGACAAGCTTAATGGAGTAGGGAATAGGGATTACATCGATTAAAAATTAAATAACCTTAGTTTCCGGTCCGGTCCGGGGAACAACGTTTATTCCGGGTACGGTCCGATCCAAACCCGAAACTCGATTTTTGCAAAAAATAAAAACCGAAAACCGGCCCAACTAAATGCATTTCCGGTCCGGTCCGGTTCAACGGGTCATATGCTCATCCCTAATACAAACTACACACCTTAAGATTTGGAGTTGGATTCCACATTAATTTGGATGACTCAGGTGCTGTTTGTTTTTTGTAAAAAACCTTTTTAGACCTTTTATTGCTGCGTGGCACAGCATACGCGCAACACTTTTAAACATTTTCAGACCTTTTATTGCTGCGCGGCATAGCACACGCGCAACACTTTTAATCTCGCAGTTGTTTGTTTTTTAGAAGTCTTCAGAGTAAGGTTATTTTCCGGTCCGGTCTGGGTTCGGTCCCGGTTTTTTTCCGGTCCGGTCCGGTTCAACGGGTCATATGCTCATCCCTAATACAAAGTACACACCTTAAGATTTGGAGTTGGATTCCACATTAATTTGGATGACTAAGGTGCTGTTTGTTTTTTGTAAAAAACCTTTTTAGACCTTTTATTGCTGTGCGGCACAGCACACGCACAACACTTTTAAACATTTTCAGACCTTTTATTGCTGCGCGGCATAGCACACGCGCAACACTTTTATTCTCGCAGTTGTTTGTTTTTTAGAAGTCTTCAGAGTAAAAAACCTCTGCCCGTGTTCTGTTTGGCGCAACACTTGGATTGTCTCTTCCACAATTTTCTTCTTTTTTCTTGCTGAAATCTTATTTTACTTTTTTTTTTTTCGTTTTTTTTTGTTTATTCTTGTTGATTTTTTTTTTTCGTTTTTTTATATTGAATAATGATAATTTTTTGATTAAATATCATTATTTTTTGCTAAAATATCTTTATTTTTTTTTGCTAAAATGTCTTTATTTTTTTGTTGAAATATCATTATTTTTTTGCTGAAATATCATACATTATTAAATTTTCGGTATTAAAAAACTATTTTCGATTTATAAAATCAGTTTATTTTAATTTTTTAATATCTGCAGTAGCATGCAGATGTTAAAAAAAAAACAAACACGCTTCTTATTACAGTCTACGGCCGTTTGGTCCACCTCTTCTACTGCAAATGGTTGCAGAGGTGGTCCGCAGACTTCATGAATTTTTGCTTCAAAAAAACAAACAACACCTAAAACTATTTTTTAGTATATAAAATTTTATAGTTGCCATTTGGGTTTAAAAAAACTGAACCGCATTCGTTAAAACCGAAAACTGCAACCGATCGATTTGGTAATGTTTTGGTTTTGAAAATCAAAAAGCCGATATCTATAGCTTTTGGTCAAAAACCAAATCAAACCACACCATACTCACAGGGATGATTCTTATTATTGTATAAGAGTTGATTTTATATTCAACTTTGTACACCTATGGCAATTTAACATTGAGACCAACTTCCTATATAATTTCAATGTGCCCCTTATTGTACACTTATGAGACTAATGCTCATTGAGTACGATAGTGCAATTAAAATATTAGCTAACATATGTTATTAAATTAACTATATTTTTGCTATTAATTTTGAATTAATAAATTTTATATTAAAATAATTTAATTATTTTAAATACAATAAAATAAATACATATTAAAACCAAATTGTCTCAATAACGTCTATCCATAGGTTGCACATAAAAATAAAATAAATTTTACTTTTTGATTTATAGCTATTTTTAATTATTATACTTATCAATTTTAATAGACATATGTTATGAAATTATGATAATTTCATTTCAACGATATTTATTCATACGTTGTGTATGAATTTAACACCTTGATTTAAGTTTTATATTTACTATTATATATATAGGTTGCACATAAAAATAAAATAAATTTTACTTTTTGATTTATAGCTATTTTTAATTATTATACTTATCAATTTTAATAGACATATGTTATGAACTTATGATAATATCATTTCAACGATATTTATTCATACGTTGTGTATGAATTTAACACCTTGATTTAAGTTTTATATTTACTATTATATTTAAATTTTTATTATTTTTAATTAATTAAAAACTATTTCTTTTGAAAAAAATTATTATAAAAAATAGTTTTGATTAACTTTTTTGTTAATTATTTATGTTTTATTTTTAAATTTTTTAGTATTCTAAAAAATAGTATTTACATTTAAAAAAATATATTTGACATTTAGATTTATGTTTCTAATTAACGCCATTTTAAAATTATCAAATTAAATGTGTTAGACTAATAATTAATAAAGTGTGTGTGGGTGGGTTGCGGGGGGGGGGGGGGGGGGGGGGTAAGAACAAATTAAGTATATCTAATTTATGTAGTGAGTTTAACACTATATTTAAATTAACAAAATATATTAACCTAATTTAATTTACGATATAACTGAGTCGGTGTTTCGATTTCCATTTCAACTTGTAGTCGGTTTTATCCATCAGGATCAACGAAAACTTCAACAATCTAACTTAGTAACTTTGGGTCTTAATTCTTTTGGATTGTGTTTGTATTTATGGATTGGTATAGGATTCTTCATTCGGGTTTAGTAGTATATGTTTTTATTCGAAATCATGATTATTTGTATTATTTGTGCTGGCTACTTTGATTAAGTAATTCTCTTGATATGTTAACGTGATTCCAAGACATGTAATCGTTTTAGGAACCAAATAAGTCAAAGTAATGAAGGCTACTTTCATTATAAAAGTACATTACATGTTTGTAAAATCCTTTGAGCATACGAAAAGGTTAAATATTATTGGAAATTTTGCAAAACTTAAAGAAATATTGCATCTAAATTTGAGACTTGAGAGCGTGTGTAAATTTGATTAGCAATATTAAGTTTGTCTAGAAGAACTTGTCTTAGGATAAATATTTTGCAAGCATAAAGTTTGTTAGAGCTTAATAACATATCTCAGGATCAATTTAGAATCATATATTAACATCTAAAATACATATCCAAGTGAAATAAACACATCAAGGTGGAAAGATCCAAAGTCGGGTACTCCTTTTTCTGTTAGTCAATCCCAACTTTCATTTAACGCGTTTAGTCTTTAATTAATAAACAAAATGTCATAATTCTTTTCGATATTAATGCAATTCTCATATTATTATAGAGAGCTTATTCGTTCTTATATAGTAGAGAAAATAGCAGAAAAGTCATTATATTGCCATAAAATTTCGATTTTGACACCGAGTTTTATTTTCCGTAATTATGACATTATATTTATAACTTTTTGCATATCAACAAAATGACCGATTCTACCTGTTCTCCGGCTAACAACTTTTCCTGAATTGCAATAAAGTCAGTATGTTTACCAAAATTATGATTTTGTCATTGTGATTTTTTTCTCAGTTATGTCATTATATTTATAATTTTGCTGGAAACTGGACGACACAGCTGCTGAAAAAGCTAGGCGCCACAAGTGCTAACAAAAACCGGGTAGCGCGGCTGCTGAGAGTTGGGCAACGCAACTGCTGAGATCTAGGCAGAGCGGCTGCTAAAAGCTGAGCAACGAGACTACCAGGGCTGGTCAACACGACTGATGAGATTTGGGTAGCGAGACTGCCTGGAGCTGGTTAACACGGCTGCTGATAGCCGGGTGGTGCGTTTGCCGAGATCTAGGCAACGCGATTGCTGAGAGCTGAGCGAAGAGACTGTTAAGGGTTGGTCCGCACGACTGTTGGGATCCAAGCCACACAACCGCTGAGGATTGGGTCGTGAAGCTGCTCTTTCATTCATAACACTAATGTCTTCCATGGAATGCACAATCACATGCAATGTCTGCTTGTTATGTAGTTCAGCTCTTCGCTCGGAATAACGCGTCTGCATAATATTGTACTAACCCTTCTACTCCCCTTTTTTAGAAAGGGCGGGGAGTGAGAACGAATGAATATATGGTATTGGTTTGTGCTTGCACGTTTGAGACTCATTCGTTTGTAGATGCCATTGTAAACAAGAATAGTAAGTTATCTAATTCCATAATGCATGATAATGGCAGTTAAGGTATGTAAGCATGTAGTTTTAGA